ATCAATACAAAATAATATCCCTGGAATGACTTGGCCGGGAGATCAAACAAGGATTAACAAACCATGCTCAAAGTTCAAAACGAGTTCATGCACCGTGCAGGAAGCGTTTCGCCTTAGACATATTAAAACTTTTAGACAGTGACACTATCAAGGTGGTTCCTACACAAGAATGAAAAGTTTCCATAGCGGAAGTCTCGACATCCTCGTGAAGGGAGCACCTGAATGACGTCAGGATTTGGAAAGCTAGGCTAGGGCTTCTTTGGGGTAGAGTCGTTTCTTCATCGGGAAGCTGCATACAGGCAAACTTACGCCAAAAAATCAGCAGATGAATCTCCTTTCAATCACAGCATTCCTTCATGATGGGTAAAGAGAAGCCCCATTTGATATGCCACAGCATTGCATTCTGAACCTTCGTCAAAAAGGAGTGCAGTATAATAAAAGGGTACATCTGACAATTCTATGCAGTAAAGGCCCACGAAGTTGAAGCACCTTCATTGTTTCGATCGCTTCTCAGTTTCCAACTGCAATATATTATACTGCCTATCTTCTTTGGCAATGTATTCATGCCATTTATAGACGGAAATGATTAAAGGTTGCCATAGTGAGCGGCTTCTGAAAGCCAGGAAACCAAAACCAGACATGTCTTGTTTCTGTTTCACCTGTCTTCTTTGTCTTTTCCGATTTTTTCCCAACGATTTTCAACATGCTTGAAATGCTTGGAAGTTGAAACCAACTCATCGAACTGATCTTGGTTCACCTGTTACATACGTCATGGGATACGTCATGGGCGAGCAACGAAGTTCATGTGGTGGTGAATTTATGCCCTCAATGCAACGTGCCGCAGAATTTCGACGACCCTCACAGCTACTACGATTAAAATAAGATTTTGAGGTTTTAGATTGCATTGAAATATGAGTGACCGACGTAGTAGGTCCATTGCCAAAATCGGCGTTGACGATGACGGTGTCGATTTCTCTTGACGTGGTGTACTTAGAGCTTATTCCTTTCCTAGTCAAACTTAACACCCTCTACACACCCCTTCTATACATGCACTATTTGAAATCTCCTTGTGCGACTCCATTAATGCTGCTAGCTCAGATGACCTCAGATGAACTTTTGCTCTCCTCTCCTTTCGACGAGATCAGTAGAGCTGGCAATACAATCATCTGTCGGCTTTTCGATTAAAACAGGCTATAATTTATGTGCCCTTCATGCTGTCTTCCATTAAAATGAAGTTGCCAAAACTTATTCGTGGCTGGGCTTAACATACTACCCGCAGATCAATGGGAAAAAAACACGCCAGAAAGAGCGCAATTGCAGTGCCATGGGAGAAACACTCACTGAGAATGCCATTCTGGCTGAAGTGAACTGCAGCATCATCTTCATGTTGTCTTTTCAAATGTATGCCTTTTCTTTGGTTGGATTGAGTGAGTGAACATAATTTCTCTGGCCTCATCGACAACAGCCTCTGAAAATGGAAACCTAGAATAATCCTCTCCTCATAGTATCTCTTCAACCCTCATGGTTCCAGGCAATTAAGGACAGGCACTGGGAATTAATCAGTCTCTTGGCAAGATCTCATCAGCAGCGATCCGATAACAAGACCTTTCGTATCACTCCTCCATAAACTTCAGTCATATATCCTATACTCGCCTTCATTTGAGTTCCAGGTGGATGCGCATGACGGACATGCTAAAAAATTTGTACAGGCATCGATCTCCATTCTGGATCTATGAAGAATGCCAGACTGTGAGAGTTATCGATCGGTGATTTCCAGCAACAATCTTCAATCTCAATCACTAGCTGCATACGCTCTGTTCTCTTTTATCCTGACAGAAACTCCTCAATTTCGCCTCGGAAACTAATATATGCCCTACAAACAGCTTCACCATCCGTAAATCTAGGTTCGGAGAAGTCTGAACCCAAGCTGCCAACATTCGAAGGTTATTGAGTCAAGTATGACGAATTGATGACAAACTGTTAGAGCTAAACAATAAATGGTACAATGACCGACTCACTTGAGTATCAGGGTAATGTCAACTCATGGAAACTTGAGAGAACGTCACAGGGAACTCTGTCATGTCTCCTTGAATGTGCAGATCTTCATGAGAGATGTGTCGTTCATTTTCAAGTGCTCAGTCAAGTAAATGATCAGAGCCAGGTCTACGCCGTTCATATCATTTTTGTTCCATCTGTTCCATCGTGTTTTTCACGCGTAAAAAGAATTTTCAATTTAGAGGATGGAATTTCGTATCGTCCTTTTCCGCTTGCCATGTTTGGCCCAAATTTGGCTATCTTATGCCAGGCATTGCATAACATGCCTTAAGCTACATGGGAATGACCGAACAAATGCTAACTACTTGGGGAAGGTCTCTTTTCTCAGGGTGTGGAGTAGGGGGAAAGGTTCTGAGCCGTCATCTAGGAACCTGCTCCAATATTGGAAACCGCCTTGCTTAACTGGTGTAGATTACAGTGAGAGACAAGGAGAACTTCACCAACGTCAATTATTGCTCGTTAGAGGAAACTAGAATCCCATGCTCCTAACGCTATCCATTCTTTAAAAGCTATATGAACCAAGATGAAACGGATTCCATTTCATGCTCTAAGCACTCCGCCTAGCGAGATGCAATGATAGGTGCTCAAATGAGTTGGAATAACTGGACTACTTCGTTAAGCCTATATTCAGGGGATAAGTTCAAGGTTTGGGTTGGGTTGTTGGAGGCGATTCTCTTCATACTGACACCCCGAGTATAGATATTTTTGTCTTGTTCAATAAACCGTCTGAAACTTTAAGCTCTTCTTAGAGCTGACCCCGATAGGCGCAGCTCTTATATCTTCATCTAACGCTTTCCATACGTTTAACACCTATCTAGTAAAAAAGAAAGTCATTCTGCAACTTAAATTTCACTTGAGGTTATGCAATTTGAATTGATTCTCCCTTGTTCTTCGTTACCACGAAGTTGAGAAACTATACCACGCTCCACGTTAGCGATGCTCTTAGCCCTTCCGTCACGAGTTAGTTACTTGTCTCTTTGCTAAATGCAGCCACTAATAGTAACCATACCTGCTGCTATAGTTACCATTTTGGTGACTATATCTGGGTGGATCCTTTGCTTCAGTGCAAGTGCCTTGTAAATGAATATTTGGAAGTGATATTTCCAAATTGGCTAAAAGCCTGATTTATTGCCATATCTTAATTGAGCACACAGTGACCGAAAGGGTGAGTGATCCTTGAATGCCTGAATGAGATCCCCTCTTTCTTGACCTTTCCAGCGAATACAGGTCTAAAAAATAGTCTAAATGGCACCTGTGTTGGCTGTCAAATAATGCATGAAGTCAAACTTTTTTAAATTTACACTTAGCTCCTGTCGCATGTGGGTGCTCGGAAATTTTCAGTATCTCATCAATGATAACCCCTAGATTTCCTTTTCCGTTCGCCTCCCCAAATCCATGCTCGCCAAACGTATTCACTGACTCATGATTACTGTTACTATGTTACTATGGCCAACAACTCCATTCCTTCAAAATCTTGGAATTCCTCTCGCCTCTCGCCCTGCCCTCCCCAATTTTGTTCTCCAAAATGCCTTCATGGAAAATAAAACGATGATAATGATGATGATGGAGAAATCTATTTTCGTGCCGTTTTTCATGATTTTACCCGCGAGGTCTCGATCTAAGTCATTTACGTAGAAGATAAACATAATTGATCCCAGGTCAGTGGGCCAGTTTTATGCTCGACTCGATTCACTTTATAACGAGGAAGGTGGTGATGGAGCCACCTGAAGCTGTAGTCCTTCCTCTACTGTGAGGGGCAGTGAAGGGGGGGAACCCACCTGCTACGGTTTTCAGCCGTCATATGAACCAGCAGGAGTTGCATTTCGTCGCCGGTAATTCGAGTCAGCTAGCAGCGACTTAGCCGAATTCCAAGGCACAGCACATGCTCGCTCTCCCATGAACATTACAATAACAGTTTGAAAAGACAGTAGGCGAGTTCGATGCAGCCGAAGTTGGCTGCAGAATGGGTGTTTCCCTGGCATGAGTCCCGGGTACATGGGTGCAATTTTAGCCCCATCACCGTAATGCATTTAAAGCTGGGAGTCGCGGGTGTCAGACTTAACAAATAAACACTTTTGGCACGGTTCATCCATCATCATCGTCTTGATTCCCTGCATTCCTTGGCTCTACATCGGAGAATACGCTGTACTAGGGCATATCATCTCAGCTCTTTTATGAATTCCATCCAGGTAGGCATGACTCCCTCAATAGCTGGGGTATTTTCCTCGTCTCTTTTTCCCTCTCGGCCCTGAGGATCGTTGAGCTGAATACGAAAAAGGCTGGAAGATTCGGAAGGCTGGAGCTCGATTTCAACGAATCCGTGGTCAAGAGTTAGCTGATGCCTTTCTCTTCCTCTCTCTGTGTCTCCCGCTTCTCTCCGTCAACGAAATGACATTACCTTGCCAAGCACTTGGGGACCTCAACTCGCTATTCAACTCGGTTTCCTCTCAAGGAACAGCATGGTGTTAAGAAGAGCCTCTCCCTGAAAGAGTCAGAAAGCAACCTTCATTTCGGAATCGAGCGCATTTAGATATCACGTCGTGATAGGCGTATGGGCGGCTCGTGATTTTCAGCGGTAGTGTATTCTTAATGGAGATAGGGTAGGCCTGGGTCTACCCTGCCTCCATTGACGATCCACTACTGCTGAATATTACGAGCCGCCACTGGTTAGACACGGTCAATTAAGTATGCCCTACACGCAATAAGCCTGTGGGATATTCGTTTCTTGCAATCGCATTGTTCCATTCCTCACCGCTCGCTGAACTTCAGCCTAGATACCTGATGCACGCACACGATTGCCTTTGTCCTGAAATCCGAGTAAACTCAAGCAAGTGATAAGTTGGATAGCAGGACAAGCGAGAGGCGATCCATAACATAGTCAGAGAATGGGAGTGAGATTGGCGTTAATTTGTTACAAGGGATTGTGTGGTATCTGTGTCGGACAGATGTCGGAGGAGGGGGAACGGAGGAAAACGGAAGAGGCGCAAGACGAGGTTGGAAGGAAGAAAAGAGAGGAGGAGAAGAAGAAGCAGAAGAGAAGAGAATCCGTGGATAAGGTGGAGACGTGTTCCTCGCCCCATAGCCGAACTGGCGGGAATTCCTTCGCCATGGAATCCCCCACATCCTTCCCTGTCCCTGGCTCATCCAACCGATCGCCGGTTATCGCCAGCAACAATTCTCAACCAGTGCAACCGAATCGAAGCCGCCTCTATATCCTCTGCTGTTCCGTTTGCATCTGGTGAGATTCATTGCCCTTCCCTTTCTCTCTCTCTTTTCTCTCCAAGGCCTAATGATAACTGAAAACCCCAAAGTATCTTATGGTAGATGATGACGTGAGTCACGCTTTGCGCTTCAGTTGCAGTTTTTCCACTATTGACAGAGTATTTTCTAAAATAGAATAGAAAATAATTGAAACTCGCGGAATGACACCATACCTTTTTTGGAAGATAATTGAAACTCGCGGAATGACACCATACCTTTTTTTGGAAGATAATTGCAACCGCGAGGAGATTATGAAAAAAAATTCTTCTTTCAGACCTAAGTCAAACAACGTTGAAAGCGATCTGATCTCGTAGATGAGAAAGAACCCATAAAAGGAAAATCTCCCCTGTTTCATCTTGTCCGTTTCGGATGTGAAAGTTGAATGACATTTAGTAGTCATCTGAAGGAACACAGTGGTTACATCCAGACGAAATTTCGCCAAGACTATACGATGATTGTTTATGCGTTGGAGTGGTTATTGGGTATGTTTGTTATTGGGTACCAACATTAAAGCCATAAACAGTGCGTGGAGATGACGATATATGTTCTGAGACTAGTGTGGGAGAGTTGTGAAGAGCAGTTGACATGAGTAATTGAAGATTTCCAGTACCCTGGCAAGGCAGGAAAGCCAAGATTCATGTCGCCTAGTCGGGAGTTGCGCAAGCATAATACAAATAGCAGTTTTCAGAAGAGAACTTCCAAAAAGTTTTCCTTGTAAGTCACAATGAAAATAAAAGTTGCAGATAAATATTTCTGTTGCGAATGAGGTTACATAGCCTATCCAACTGCTGGTTGCAAAAAGGATATATTGGGACTAGGGCTGCAACGGTATCAGATTTTTCGGCTATTCGATACTCTGTTGCCAGGAGCTCTGATAACCGATATTCAATATTCATGTCTAAAATTTCTCACTGAATTTTTCTTCACCACAATTCATCTTTATCTAGGTGATGCCTATGTTATAAGCCAACAATTGAATTCATATAAAGATAATACGCATGGGAATCATGGTTCAATGATAACCAATGTATCCTATATTTAAAAGGCCTAAAATTGGCTCTTCAGATGTCTACAGGTATCACATTAATTGACTGACATCCAACACTTGCTGCAGCCCTTAAGTATGTCACCGAACTTACTGTGTTCTCCATTAGCCGTCATCATGCGTTCTGCCTTACCTCGACTTGGCACACAGCAGAGGTCGAGTTACCTCATACTTCAATCCTCGCACGAATCTTGACAACATAAGCTAGCTTACTTCGCTGGCAGCGAGTTTCTGTGATCTGAGCAGATTGGTTGAGGTGGATAAGTTGCTTGATTTGTAAGTTCGCCAAGCAAGCTTGCTCGTGTAGACTTACGCTGACGTAATCTGTGAACTTGGCTGAACACATAGATGAAGGCTTATTGTGGGAGCTGAGCGGGATTTAATGCATCAAGTCTATATAGCTGAGTCTCGCTATATAGAAAAATGTAGAGGAAAGCTTTAGCTTTCGTCTAAATTTGATCGCCTGCTCTTGACGTTATAGATCGCTGCAAAGGGTATATATGTTTAAAAATTTACCATAATGGCCCACGACTTCATTGCACATGCGAATATCACTGTCATAAGCTGTCATAAGTTGACAAGCATTTGCTCTGGAATGTAATATTTGTCCAAATTTCTTAACTACCCAGTATTTACGGTTCCCCCTGAGCAAATGAGCAATTTTGTATGATGCATCATCTCCCAGATAAGTAGGACCCAAGTCTCAAATATATATGTTCTCCTATTGAATGCAAAGACGGGGCTTGACTGAGCGCTGTGATGGAGTGATGGAGGCTTTCCCAGTGTCGATGGTGTAACGCTAGACTATCGTTCAATGATATACTGTACGTAATGCACTATAGGAATGAACTAGAGGCATTCATCGTATAGCAGCTCACTATAGGTTCGCACTGTAACTGAGAATTTTAATTTTATAGTGCAGCACATGCACATAGAGTGTTATCACGTGAAAATAAAAGAAACTGAACTTCCTTTGTGGATCCTTAAACTGAAATGTGACCCACGTTTCGGGGAGTTCGGTCGTAATTCCGAAAGAAACCCTGTCCGCAACCTGATGGAAACCTCCCTCTGCGATTTTCCGAGTCGTTCGTCAACTATGGAAATCACAGGAAAAAGCATAGTGAACCAACTCGTGAAAATGAAGTGGTTACCATGGGGAAGCAAACCAACGTGCTCTCACCCTTCAAAAGATCGTCTTGGAGGGAGATTTCCTGGAACCTCACGGAAAAATTTGCATTCCCGAGACTTTCAGAATGTGGATGTTACTCTACACATGGAAGTACAAGAGAGTTACTGGATGAAGTCCCAGCTTGCATTTCTTCTCCCGTTTCTTACATCTTGAAGAGAGCAGCAGAAGAGAAAATTCTCTCTTCAAAGAGAGAATTTTCGCAAGATAGCGGCACGTGTTGAAATGAATGAGAGGGTGGAATTATTCACTCTTCTGCTTGTCAAAAACATGTGACTTGCGATGCTGCCATCAACATCAAGCACGCAATAGGGACATAACCGGAAAACGATAAAGGCTCAGCTAATTAAAGGAGGGAGACGCAACATGAATCTGATCTTATAATCTCAGTTGTAGAAGAGGGCTCTCGTGACTGCGTAAGGCAAGAATGAGGTGGACGACTTGTTCTTCCGGTCAGAGCCTCACTTATGGCATGAAGCAACTGGCGCCAAGGGAACACGATTTCGTCCGACAGCAAAAAAAAGTGCTGTTCGAGAAAGTTTTTTTTAGGCTGAACATCCGCTTCATCCGCTTCTTCCTTGGGCGAAATGGCACCTCCACACGACTGCGCCAAAAGTATTTCCATAAGTTTTGAGTGCATGTCCGTACTACGATGCAAGGCTTCCACATGCACGCACTATTCGTGCTCACGCAACCAGCTCAATTCGGAAGTCCACTTTCATATGAAGGAAAAGGGGCTACATTTGCGGAAATGGCATTGTTTTGTTTCTGATTAGAAACTAATAATATTCGATAGGGATTGAATATATATATTGAAATAACTGGATTAAATTTTTAAAAAGTGAACCTCCATTTCATGTAGGCCCTTTCGGAACGTTACCCTATGGACTTCTTTCTGTTAGTGACTGCTAGTCTTTCTCTTTGAAGGAATAACGTTCCGTGTCGCATGCTCGTGTTTCTTTTACTTATTTATTTATTTTTTTGAGATGAGCAACGAGATGGAAGAGTCTCTTAAAAGAACTAATCCATGCTGAAATACTCCAAGAACCGTCCTAAGTCTCCGTAGCACCGAAAAAGTGATGGAATTCACCAAATTGCTGCCATTGTAAGCTGATTGGATGCCCCCAGAAATTCCACGCACGTCGTCACCTTCACCAGCTTCGCAACCAAACACACTCCGTTTAAAAGTCCTTCTTCGTCCTCCTCCATCTAATTCAATTAGACTGGGGGTCTCTAGGAGCTCGAGTGATCTTTGACTTTTCTGTGTGAATGCCCATGATAGGACTTGATTAAAGTGACCAGACTGACTATTATCATGACTCCACTAAATTGAATTGATTCGGTGTTCAAGCACCATGTGTGACATTGTCCTCTCCTGTTCTTGAGATGTCTCATCATCTGGAGATGACACATTAAATATTACATTTTGTGGCATTTTCTGGTCCTTACCGGCCTTCCCGACCTGAGGATCTCCCCTTCTACTGTGCTAATTGAAGTTTCCCAGTCATTCCCGCTTGCTTGGATTGATTCGCAACCATCTTGTTTCTTGCAGCATCTCATCTTTGAGCAGGCCCAGACAGAAGAAATTCAACGTGAAGAAATTAGTATCTGGGTGAGTCTCTCCTCCCGCCTCCGCTCCCCTGTCACGTCATACGATCGATAAATTCCTCTGAGGCAAAGGCTATGAATATATCCTTAAAGCCAGTTCGGAATTATTTGGAATTGCAGTCACTCGGAGTAGGTATCTGGAATTGCTAGCATCAAACACAAGAGTAAGACGTAAATTCATTACATACTTTTTTTTAATTCTTAGCAAGGCGTTGACAGAAATGAGACCGGGCTGGGGAAAAGCCTAGACGACTTCATAGATTCAGGATAAATACATTTCTCGGTTTCAAAACAATGACGGAATGGCAGATGGAAGTACCGGCAATTATTGGAATTGCTGTAACTTCGACGTGGTCCTGTTTCATGCATGGGAGTGTGGTCCTGTCACAATCTTTTATAGAAGATCGCATGCTGCCTTTGTGCAGCATTCCCAGGAATCAGAGTTTTCCTGGTATAGGATCATCATGAGAAGAAATTATTGATCTCTTGAAAGGGCCCCTCCCACATAACGTGAGGGCATGAAATTAGTCTTCCTTCTTATCGCATCCCACCTGTACGTCAAACTGGTTAGGTCTTCAAATTAAATCTCGTTCGTCTGGTTCTACTCCGTGCAACTCATCTGATGCAACATACGTTCGAAGGAGAACTTGTGCATTAGTGTGAGTGATTCGAAGAAAACAATCAAGGGGTGACAGATGACAGGAATCATTAACATTTTATGAAGGAGGTCAAAGTATCCCTGGCCTCTTTTTTTTTGGTATATGCAAGTCAGTTCGGCACACTATTCCAATGCGCACCTTTTTCTTTATCTTCTTTCACCGTAGGGTTCCATTGGAGGAGATCCGCAGCTGGGGAGAGTCATTTGATCGCCTCATGAAGCATCAAGGTGAGTTAATCCATGGACACTCATTCTTCTTTAATGGCAATTCCAGTGGATCCCTCTTTAATGGCAGTTCCATTGAATCTCGATACAATGATCATTATGATGGACTGGGGAGTATTAAGAAGAGATTGAGCGAGAGCTGCTGATGAGAAGGTTATTGTTGGTCTGGGGAAGAAAGGGGATAATCACTTGGTTGGGATAGGGATAATCTATCCCTGACTCCCCCCCCCCCCCCCCTTCCTGCATTCCCCTCCCCACTTTTGATGACGTTCAAGGGGAAGAGGAGGAAGAAAAGGGCCGGAAGTTGGGTCGCACTTCTTCTCACCTCTTTCATCTCAGACCTTTAATCTCTCCACTTTTGTTGACACTTGGAAGTTCAAGAAGATCGGGGATTGCGATGCAAGGAGGAGGCCCGTCGACATGCTTGTCAATCCGATTCGGCTGTTAGTGCCAAGTTCCGAAGCACTGGGCCACCTACGATATCTTTCTGCTTCTCTCTGTCGCTGTCTCCCATTTTCTCCCTCAAAGTCAACAATTCAGTAAGAAGAATAGTGACGTGGGCGGACCTATGTGATTAACGATAGTGGATTGGATTAACGGTAGTGCTACATTATGTTTTGATTGAATTTGTACAGGGTATTCCGAAACCAAATTAGCTCTTTCGACATGCAACCTCCAAATTGTGGCTCCAGCCTTACCAAGATTAGACAAACAGGGAATAGGCAATCTATTGGAAGTCGAGTTTATTGTCATTGCATTCCAAAAACAATGGTGCGAGAAGCCTCCATCCCTTGTCATAGACACACTTGATTTAAGCACAAGGTACTTTGGTATGATTTGAATGGGGTCACGACCGCAAATCAGAAGCTATAATCTCTTGGCCTTGGCACTCTTGGTTAGTGCCGTTTTGCTAAGTAACCACTTCGAGTAAAGGTAGTAACTTCATCTTGAGTTTCGTGCGGATAGTAGCTCAGTCGCAAGGCTTAATAATAAAAAAAAAGGAGGGGGGGGGGGGGGGGGGGGGGGGCCCCTTTCCAAGTGTCAACAAAAGTGGAGAGATTAAAGGTCTGAGATGAAAGAGGTGAGAAGAAGTGCGACCCAACTTCCGGCCCTTTTCTTCCTCCTCTTCCCCTTGAACGTCATCAAAAGTGGGGGGGGGGGGGAAGCGGACCCCAGGAGCAGAGACCAGAAGCTGGCAGGCTTGAGGGATGGGAACTGCCTGCGATATAACCTTATAGTCGATTTGTTATTTATTTGCGATGTTAATTAGCAAATATTACTTGATCAGTTATCAGTATGGTTTCATAAAAAAATTAATCGGAGACCTGTGAGGAGAGAGCGAACAAAAGACACCCAATGTTTCGAGTCTGGACCTAAAGATACGTACAGTATATGAGCGATGGGTGCCCAGTGTCTGGCAAAAGACCCTGAATTAATATATATCTCTGTTCTAGCGAAAGATGTTTTCAAGAGACACGCAATAAGTACGGGCTAATGTGTTCCCAAAAGACTATTAAATTTAATTCAAATTCGATTTGCTTACGCTAGGCCATATGCCACTATGTAAGAGAAATCGGATGTTAAAAATGGCTGGGGATATGTCCCAGTCCCTTCAGAGAAACTACTAAGCATGCTTCCACCGAAGAAAACCTTAAGAAATATATAGCTCTCTTCATTGTTACCTACTGATTGGAAAGGTAACTAATCTGTACCATATTCGCGATGGCCAGTCTAACAAATAGGCTTATTATTCAATTCAGCAATACTATTCAATCCAATAATATGATTTTCAACATGAGTTACTTGATATGCAGCCGTAGCACGTTGGCGATTCCTTCACTTAACAGCCAACTCCTGTCATTAGATGACAGTTGTCACGAATTGGGAGCATCTCAGTCTGTGCTCAGAGCATGTTTCGTGAAAATATCTTCAGTAAGAGCAGAATACCCAGCAAACAATTTGAAACACATAACGTTGATACAACGTTGGTCAACGTAGCCTTGTTTGCTGAGTATACAAGGTATACCAGATATGGGTTCAAAGTCGGGGGTCTCTTTGTAAGCTCTAAATCTCTCTCTCGCATGGTGATCATCCTTCAGGGTGTCGTTGCAGCTCAATATACAGGGTATGAGAAGAAAAAGACAAAGGAATTTAAACCTATTTATGTCTTCCCTTCCAGAGAAACTATTCTAATAAAACTTGCACTATGCATTGAGGGATATGTTTCCAATAGATCTTCGAAATTTAATCCCTATTTTTGATACTGCGGGAAGTCTATGAGCAATTACTCAAAAGAAGGTGGGCTTAGAAAATATAAAAGAGCTCATGTTGGTAGTGAAGTGGAGGATACGGCTTCACGCTGTGTTTGCACATCATACAGGTCACGTCCAACTTCTCTTTCATTGAAGTTCATTGGTGGGCCAGCCTTTCTTTAAGATGGTTTTGATAAGTTTTTTTTTTTCCCCAATTAATGATTCATATATTTTCAAGTATCAATGTGGAGAGTTTGCTCAAAGTTTGTTCAGGTTTTCTCTTGGTTTACATCAGAGAACGAAGCAGGCGGAGTCTACTCACTCCGAGAGGACTGGAGTCCCCTGTCAATTTTCAATTTCCGGTTTAATATGAGTACTTGCTCTTAACCTTACTTAGGCGGAATACACTTGTATGAAATTTCGAACCCCTGTTTGGAACAAATCAATTTATGGACAATACAAATTTCATGAAAATAGCTCCAGTGAGAACAGAGGTATGTAGTTTAAAAGTCATTGGTCTTTTTTTTTGCCCTACCCTTATTAGGTGCTTGGATGGATATTATCCATATATAAGGGTTAGGGAAGAGAGGATGACGAAATTGAGGATTGCTCACTATGCTCCCGAACTCTGCTCCTGCCCTTCCTTGCGAGTCTTCCTTTTACTAGGTTGACATGCCTATGCGCAGTGTCAGCAGTCATAATGATGCGTGAATATGGTATGCAGTGATGCCTAAGTATTGCCCAATTTTGCTCGCTGTATTGGTGCAATCACTTTTCAGGTATGCGGGGGTCTAGAGATACCAAAAACAACGTAATACACAAACCACAAATAAAATATTTAAGTTTTTTTTTCAAGTATCAAGATTGATTGCGGATGCAACACAAAATGTAAAATTATTGAGAAGATCGTGAGCACGTTCGATAGGCATTCCTCCGGATCCCATAACAGCTAATACACGTGATGCGTTGTAAGGTCTTCTTGGTCAACTGAGATGATGGAAAAACTGGAAGGTGAGTCAAGCATTCTAGCAAACTCCGACAGGCAAACCAGGAATTGTTTGACGAGAAGTGATAGAGCAGCTAATTAAGCATATGGGTGGATTGGCTACAGGAAAGCTCTTAAGAGCTCTCCACTCTTGTTGAATTCTCTACTTCTGCACCGGAGCTTCACTGGCTCTATCAAATTTTGCGAATATTCACTGAAATAAATTTTACGCCTTTGCAAGTAGAGGATTTCTCTATTTTCGCCAGGTTGCCCACTCTATAATAGGAATAATATGACAATGGCAATATATTGTGTGGAGAGCTTGTAAACGACCGACAAGTAATATTCTCTCTTTTCCCATTCCCGAGTTTCTGCTTATGCGATCGTGCATGTTGAACGCCATCGCTCCGTGATACTATGGTGAACATTTCCTCGATTACATATATTTTAGGGGATTTTCGCGGACCAGGGCGAATGCAAATTTTGATCCCACGATCGTGCAGTGTATATTCCACCAATAATAATCAGCAACAAACTTACTTCACTGTACAATGTATGGATTACGTGCGGAGTTGGGCCTGAAATATATGTATGTGGATTTCGGGGGAGGGCGTGGGTCCATGGGTCCCTTGGGTGCGGCCCCCTGTGCCAACGCCAAAAAAAGATAGAGAGAAAAAGTCACATAGTAGAATTAGGTCTTCCCCCTCTTAGTGTTCCGGGGGGAGAAAGGAATTGCATCCCATCAGAGACGACGTGAGGCCTAAGAGCTCGCAAAGCAGGCCAGCATCCTGCCAACCACTGTTGCTATTCGAACCTCCTCTGCGTGAGCAGCAATGAGAATGTTATCACTTTCTCGAATATATTTAGAGACAACTCTTGTTTTTCCATATACTGTCCCGAAGCCCTACGCCTAATTTCATCGCTCAACTTCTCATAGTTTTGAAGACTTTTTAACTGCAAAACTTTCCAAGACCCTTTCAAAAGCAGACCTTACCAATGACTGGTGATCTTTAATGAAGCTCGCTATTGAACTAGGCTTTCCCCAGCTTATTCTTACTTTGTTCCCATCTGCCTTTGGGATATGATCTAAAATATCTCCTTCTCGCCCCTATCACATACACCAATGAGATTATAGAACCTTGCACTTGCTCTAGCCTATTACGATTGCGCAGCGCGACCCCAGGCTTCATTGCTCGAAAACTTTGCAGTTTTCTGCATAGACCTTTTTTTTTTTTAATGGAAGGGGTGAGTGGGAATTGAGGATGGATATTCTAATCCCTGGCGAAAGCGCTAAGACTAGGTTTGCCAAGGAAGTCATATTCTTTCTAGAATAAACTGATTCAACTGCGTGAGACAATGATTTGCAACTACTCGTACAAGTGAGCGCAGATTGGAATGGCGAAAGTGGTTTGCGACATGAAAACAGGTAGAGCCATAAACCTGTGGCACCTGTTTCTGGACTTGAAAAAGGTAGGTCACCTACTAAATGCAGTCCTGTCTGACAGATGTGGCATTCCATTTCTGTGTCTCTCGTTCATAACTTGGGTGAGCAAGACCAGAGATAGAGAGGAAGGAGAGGAGAGAGAAAAGAAGAGAAGAGAGAAGAGAAGTGAGGGTGGAAAAATGAGTAGGGGAGAGGAAAGAGGAGAGTGGAGAGAGAGAGAGAGGAGATAGGAGAGAACATCCGATGACTGAGAGACAGACGGCCCATTTCCAGATTAGAGAAGACAATGCGGTGGAAGAATCTTAGGAGGGAGGAGGGATGGGCAATCGCTCATCCCTCTTCCTAGCTTGCCTACAGAGCTTTAGGAAGCAATGACAATGTACTGGAATTTTCACACATGATCTGTTTCCAGCGTAAGCGTCCATATGAAATGATGATAAAACCACTTGGCTTGGCCTTCTTTCAGCGGAATTCGAAAAAGATTGTGCAATGAGCTATCGAGTCTTTGAAAATTTTTATCTAAAACATTAGAAACTCTAGACTAGCAATATACGTCATTTGGGAGCCCTGTCTGTACTGCATTAGGAATTTTATTGCAAACATCCGAGTATATCTGTGCATGTTTCGCCTCCTTACAGGTGCAGTGACGTTTCCCTTTTGACGCAATGAAGTTGGAGTTCATTGCGACCATTAAACTGTAAAAGAGAGCTGGGATTCGTTTAAAGTCCATGACCTCTATCATAGTTTCCCCCATCTTGACAGCTTAACGTGTGTCATATACTCCATCTAGCGTCAAAAGTGGAACGGCAGTATACTTGCAACAAGACAAAGCTTAAAGATATATATATTTGCAATCCTATTACTGTAAATACACAGCTTTAAAATGAAATGTACAGCACGATTGTCATGTTTCTAGTTCAATAAATAAAAACTAAATAGCAAATAACTTATCAATATCGAATGTACACCTAGAGTGATGGAGGTGCGCGACTCCCCAGTGCGGCCCAGCCAACAGAGTTGAAGCTGACAAAAAAGAAATTTTCAGAACCAAATGCCTCTCAATTCTGTCTTCCCAGAGCTTTATCTCGTGACAGATTTAATTGCTGATTTTATTCGTTCTTCATGTCGTCGAACAACGGTATTAGTAACAGAGGAAAGACAGACAGGACGGGATAGACAGTAAGGGGCTTCATTTTGAAAGAAGTCCCACAAAAAAATATTGCGGAACGCCATTGCATTCCACGCTCCTCTTCATTCCATCAGGAGGAAGCCAGAAATCTATAAGGTCTCGAGCATGTGCTCTTAAGAGAAAGGGAAAGTCCATCCTGCAGGACGTTGATCGAGGAAACCATTGTCTTCTCTACTCCCAGCATGCAATATTTGCAGGGTAGCCAAACCCCAGGCTCTTGCCATTAGAGTCAACGCTAAGAGGAAACCGGAGAGACTGGAGCGATGAAACCATCGCGCGTTTTCACCTCGCGATATGCCAAGGTCTGACGTAAATGAATATGAAAATGTGAAAAATGGGTAGGGGTGTGAGAAGGGAAGAGAAGTGTCACTTGATGGGAGTGGACCCAACCCAGTGTGGTATGATGGTGCAGACGGAAGAGCATCGATCCAGAGAGACAGCGAGAGAGAGAGAGAGAGAGAGAGAGGAGGGGGGAAGGGGACCTTCCCTCTTTCTCTCTCTCATTTCTCATCCCCTTCCTTTCTTTTCCTTCTCACCCTCTTTTCCCCATTTCCCGGTCTCGTCTGAAGCACAGCCAGCATGCGCGCTCAGATCCACCCAGACGCCGGTTCTTTAAATGCCTTTCTTCCTGACAACCCCAGCTCTGACTCCGTTCCACCATGAGAGATATTGGGAAATGGCGGTCAACTGCAAGAGCGAATCCAGATATGGGAACGCCTTGGGCGAACTCGAATCCAGCCCCCGTTCTGGAAGGAGGAGAAAAATCTTACATGGAGAAATCTTACTTAAAAGATGTATTTCAGTAAAATGGAAATCACTGCCGTGCGCATGACTGTGACGCAAAACAAAGTGAGCTTGGCGAAAGGTGCCACAGCTCAGGACTGGGTAAATAAACCGTACAGGGTGTCCAGCAATTAAGCATATACTTCCAAAGGTTCAATGCTCCTCAGATTTTTCATGCAGAGCAGTGTAAACTTTAAGCTTGCTAAAAGGAGTGACTATATATATTTTCGAACATAACTCTCTATTCGTATAGATAATGTTACAAGGTGTGCCGGAAATTGATTTGAATCCAAGAAAATGGACCAAACTGTGGTAAATTACATGGCATTTTAGTTTCTTTCATTCAAATCTTGGGAATTCTCATTTCTGCGATAGACACTATTGATCTAAAAATCCCTTGAATGAATCCAGAAATAATAAAAAAATTCTAATGCAAGTTGGCAGCCGTGCGCATTGAAAGTCGGAGGACATCAAAAAATGTATCGTACGTACGTCTCTTCACCTCATCAGAATGAGCAGCATTACAGCGTCAAGTTGTTTGTCGGTACGTCGTGAATAAACTCATTCAAATTTTAAAATGAATTTTAAATAAAAATAACTATGATCCTCCCTTTACAGAACTAACACGTTTAGCTTCTCAGGATCGCCTACCCAAGGAGCTGCGAGTTTTTGAGAGTACAGTATACACTTCATTCCCATACACCCTGTGTATACATGAAGGTATCATTCCCGAACACCCTGTGTATACATGAAGGTATCATTCCCGTACATCCTGCGTATACATGAAGGTATCTCAAAGGAAAGATGCGTCTTTGCAATGCAATATTTTGCCTTATGAAAAATGCTGAATGTAATGTAATACAAATACACACTAACATTGACAAGCTAGCATTAAATAATAAAGTGAAGAGGTAACATGATTCAAGTCTAAGATGGATGCATGAATCTGATATGTGATGACTCGTCCGTCTCTGCTCGGACGATTGGTGCTTTCAAATATTCCGCAGTGCGACAGAATTCACATGGCAAAGGTTTTATTTCTTTGGATACATTGCAGTCACGTTTGACGCCCTTCAGCTTGGACGCTGCTGTTCAAACTTATTTCGGCTAGGCTTTTTCAGGTGAAGTTGTGGCCGGGGCGATATCCCCAGAGCCCCCAACTGTATAACTTCGCTATTATCTGGCATTTTAATCTTGAACTTTGTGACTGATACGTTTAAAATTTTGTGAATTTAACGGCATATGTTTGTCTTTCTGCTGTGAGATTGTTAAAACAAAATGATTTCAGTGCAGTAGACAAAACTGGGGAGACTCGAAAGCCCACCCCGACTAATATAGGGTATATAGGATATAGCATAACATCCTTCCCATAAATCCTGAGAGAGAGAGAGAGAGGGAAAAAATTTTTTTGGCGGTTGTATTTTGTATTGTCTCACAAAGTCAGACCTATTGACCAGAAGAGATCCTCCCCCGAGAAACTGTAACCGACTGAGGGAGTGAATCAATATGGATTCCTTCCTATCCACGTACGGAAAGATCTCCATATGTTACCTACGCCCGTTCCTTCTTCACTGCACCTTCCTGATACCATTGCTGTCAATCTCTTTCCCTCTTGGTTTGCTATCGCAGTTTAATATTCAATTCAATTCATTTATCCAATCTATTAGGCATTCAATAACCTCGTCACATGAATATCTCGTGCAAAAGTCTTACATTGCATGCATGAATTTAAATAAGTCACAGAATGAAATTACGTCTTCCACCTCTCATCCTTCCTGGGGGAGAAGAGGATTGTATTCGTTAGTGATATTTCTGAAGAAATGGCAAAATGGCAAAGCACTTAGAGCAGGCGAATATTTAACCATGCACTTTTGCCACTTGACTATCCTCCGTACGCACAAGTTTTCCATTCACACTCTAGCACATATTGTGGCTTTACCATTAAACATTTTTTAACGAAAATCTTCCTTGCCCTTGTCTTTGGTCGCATGCAACAAAGCACATCCTCGTATTTCCTGAATGTCATTTAAAAATATAACACTCGGATATTACGGGAAAGACTAGTTCTCGGATTAGCAGAGGGGTACTCCTAACTCTTGCCACCGAAGGTCAACCATTGATTGGACGCGATCAAGTGCTACCCTGGCGTCCCATTGAGGACCCCTGTGTAATCTTTCTTTTCATACCTTTTAAGTCTAAATAATGATTTGTGTTCGTTGGGGATGAGCGGAAGGAGGATAGTCAATGGCATCAAGCACTAAATCTTAATCTTAAATATTATTAAATCGGGGATTCGATTATTTTTGTTCCAGCCGGAAGAAGGGTGTTCTCGGAATTTTTGAGGCACGAATACAGCGAAGAGAACATGCTTTTCTGGGTAGCCTGCGAGGAGCTCAAGAATGAAACCGATGTGGTTCGGGTGTCAGAGAAAGTCCGAGTCATTTACGAAGACTACGTGTCCATCTTATCGCCAAAAGAGGTGAGATCATTGACGGGGAAGGAGAGTTATTGCTGCTCAGTAAGGAATATGGCATGGTACAAGTATAGCAACTTTTTCCCTTTCCTGCACCACCTTTTCAAACTCTCTACTTTCAACTGAGTGAATCTATTACGATTAATAGAACTGTTTTGTAAATACTTAATTTTAATCCCTGATAGAAAAAACTATGCTCTTGAACGTTGTTGGATTGGTTTTCATCCCCTGCCCTAGGTGAGTCTTGATGCCCGTGTGAGAGAGCTGATCAACCAGCGGATCACAAAACCTTCCCCAGATATCTTCAAAGAGGCTCAGGCGCAGATATATATTCTGATGCAGAGGGACTCCTATCCACGGTTTGTCGTGTCTCCGATTTTCTACAAAGTTGCAAACTTCAAGAACAAAAAGAAGAAAGTGAAACGACAAGGAAGCAAAACGGCGTGAGATCACAAGTGAATCTTCCTCATACCATGGGACCAGATGGACTTCACTGGTGACAAGGACTAGAGTTTTAAATTTGTCTTAGAGTGATCACTTGTGATACTGCCTTCTATCAGTTTCTCTCTCTGTCTCCGTCTATAATCCGCACTCCAAGACCATGGATGTACTCATGGAGATCGTTTATAGTCACGCCTAGTCAAGCATCCTAGTCAGAAGAGAGCACAGGGCTATTGCTCAGTGTTCTCTCATTCTCTCTTCTCCTCCAACAATGCATCTTGTGATATTTTTCTTCTGAACACCTCCGCTGACATCGGATAAGCTGCCATTCTTGGAGTCTCCTCCCCTTCTTCTTTTCCTTATAGCTTGCCAGTGCACAAAAAAGGAAATATATAGTTGCGTCAGATTTGCAGATGACTATGCTCAGGAGAAATGTGTTTTGCATGCATGAAGAGTCTAACATGGAGTCAGCCCTTATAGCACTAAATCTGTTTCACAGCAATCCATTGAGAGTTGTTCTCAGCTTAGAAAGAGCGTCTCATGTGGCTTTCAAATAGATTCTCAACCAGGAGCAATTGTTGAGTAACACGATTTCATTTTTAACGCAACATATCTGTTCATCCAGACTGACAATCTGTAGCATGCTGGGATGCCCATTCACTGGAATGCATGTCTTTACTCTGTACCTGGGGTCAATGTGTGAGTGAAAATGGTTGTGCTGTTCCAATGATTGAACAAGATTTAATAGCATGGTGAGGGAATTGCTCTTTTGAGGTTGAAAAACTCAATTGTCCAGGCTGTGGACCTTCATCTCTGAACAACACAGGCCAGGCCTCCTAGAAATACGCTTGAGATGAAGTTTTTTTTTTTTTGGTCATTGAAAAAATGGAAGAATGATTGCGACCACGGTCTTCCGAAAGTTGAGGTCTGGCAACTCGGGCCCAAAATGTATCTAGGAACAGATCAGCCCATCCTCTGATGGGCGTAATCCATTCCGCTTGGTCGAAGTCGTGCTCGAAAAAAAGTCGCAGAGATTTTTGACATCACTGTTTTTTCATAAGTGGGGCTGGTGTCAGGTATTCTCAGTTTTTCTCCCATGAGGCACATGGGAATCAGTATGAATGTCACCAACTGAATGTGTAGAGCATAGCTTCCACTAACCGTGTATGTTTCTACAGATGATCTTAATAAACAAGCACGCTCTTCTCCCTTCATAGCTGTACATAAGTTGAAGTTACTCTTCGTCAACATTTAACCATCTCCACGATGACAAAAAGGCGTACGAGTATATATAGGATAGCATCGAAGTCAGAAGCGTATCGAGTGCGAAGCAAACCATGGAAACAGCTAGATTCAGAGAAAAGGTTCAACGTCATACGAAGCGGAGAATGAGTGTAAGTTTAGGTTTTCATATAGTCTGCCGTCAGCTGCTAGATACCTGGTGCGTGTCACCCATTATCTGAAACTGAAACCTATGCTTTTAACTGCATGGGACTCGAGACTAAAAAATGAATGTTAATAACATAAGCAGCAAATCGATCATATCTTTATTGCTTAGAGCCTCTGCAGTTAGGATTTAACGGGAGAAGCAAGACAAAATGAGTGAGGAAGTAAGAAGAAAGCAGTTAAATAAGAGAATACCCAATGTCTCCAGAAGTTAATTTTGTCCATAATTTAGCTAGAAACTCATTCTCCTTTTTAAATAAATTAGAAATGGGGTGGGGAGGAGGTATAAGCAGCCTACACCCAAATTCAGTTAGGTCAGAAATAAAGGAATAATCGAACTTTCTCTGAAGCATTTGACAGCACTGAGTCAGCAGAACGAGATTAAAGTTACACCAATGAGCGTTATAGTCACTAGTCAGTCTCTCCAAGAGAGAATGGGAATTGCCAGACCTCTACTTCATGGACCTTGATTGTGACATTGTTCTTCATGAAGCCACCTTTGAAGGCTTCTGCTCAGCTCACACATGAAGTTTTCTTAGCAACAGTGACATAGATGTACAACGTAGCAACTATGTCACTGTTTATGCATTAGAGTTGCACAATGTAGTCCAAACTTGCTGTCAGGATTGATTTTGGTGCAATATTGTCCTCATGGCTTCTCACATGCCAGCAATATGATTCTATGAACTGGCTAGTATGTGCCTACGTTCTTGTAGTTAGCACTTGACATTCCATTCCTCTCTTCTATTCCATATTTAAAAAATCTGAGCAATTTTCTGTCAATATAATCAACTGAAAAGACTAGGTTTCTTCAACTTCTGGTTGTCAAGGAGAACTGTATTTGTGCTTCTCTGCAAACTGATCAGGCTACTAAAATACAAACAAAATACTATTCCAAGTATCTGTTTCTGTTCCGTCCTAAACACCCCTCTGGAAATCTTGAGTATTCTCAGTCATGAGGAAACTTGTACAAGATGATGCTAGCAAGGACGGCAATAACTGAATTGCCAAATCATATGAAAATTGACAAGTGAATATTGATTCCTCAACATAATAAAAACTACTAAGTAAGCAACAGAACCTTTATGACTTTTGTCAAATCATGTCATGCACTTTGAAGATATGGCTCGAAGATAACACTGCATCGCCCAATAAAATGCCACACTTGCTATACTTTACAATGAAATAATTTTTACTTCATGAACATTGGATTAATTATAAAAAACCAGAAAATGTATCCAGTACCTTTTCTTGAAAGCAATGGAAAATGTACGCAAGAACCTCTAGCATTTACTCTCTCAGGGTACAGGAGCCCTCCAGATGGATGTAGAAAGAGACACAAAAGGAAACATGGACAAAATTCATTTAGAAAAAATGCAAATAGGTTTAGTTTACTCTGAGTAGAGTTGTTCCTGCAGGTCAGAACTCATACAAAGGGAAAATATTTTCTGCACAATTTTTGGGCACTGAAGACATGAGTATGCAAGTCAACATGGTACCTGAATTTTCCACATTTATAGAAGGTACATAATTAAGATATGCCCAAACATGAAGACAAACCTGCAATAGCAAAACGATACACCCACAGACAGACATGAAATAGTAATGATTATCAACAGATGACAGCCTTAACAGAAGGACTCCACAAATGTGAACAGCTCAATGCTATCAAAGAGCCATGCAAGAGGAAGGGAATAAATGTGACCCATATGGTATTGAAGCGATGGCAGAGATGGGCCCTCTTCAAAAATGATGACATGAGACACAGTGGAGAGAGGACCTTCCCATGGAGCATGATATGGGATGTTGCGGTCCAGATCCTCAACTGTAGCTGGAGCAGGGAGACGAGAATGTACCTGCCCACCACCAAGTCTCAGTAGCTTCTCAACTTCATGTTTGGACAATGGAGAGTGATGGGTGAATGTTCCTTGAAGATACATATGACACCCATCAAACAATCCTGGTTTCTGAAAAAAAAAATAAGACACAATATGTCTCATATCTCAGCTCCACCAGAATGCAATGTACTCAAGTCTCTGCATGAACAGAACGAACCTTGGCAGCAAAGTTTTTTTGGGCTTTGAGAATCCCACTGTTCCCAGGGCACTCCTTGGAACCTTGCACCAAGTAGTCCTCAGGGTCTAACAACTTTCCAGCTGTTAAGCATGCTTTCACATCTACATGGTAAGTAGACCATAGCCCAATTCACTTCCTAGCAGAGAGTAGAAGTGTGCAGATGTGCCATTGAGAATTTAACCCTTTCAGACCTGACTTCAGGCTGTTCCAAAATGAATGTCCGAATTCGATCGCAAACTTTGAAGGGTCGTAACTCAGCTGATAATGAACATTTTAAATCGAAGTAAGCACCATCCGCTTCAACACACTTCTGCCAACGAGATACAAGCTTGTTGATCCCAGTTGAGTAGAAATCCTGGGTTCTGGAGGCGATGAAATCCTTAAAGGCATCTTCGGCAGAGGTCTGATCATGGAAGTGTTTCTCCTTGACGAAGTGATCCAGGTGTTTGAAAAA